GGTCCAAAACTGTTGTTGGACAATAAGGCCTTTAATTGAGGTCAGTGCTATTTGCAGGCCAGTTAAGATCAGGCCTACCCCAAACTGTTGCCTCGAAGCTGCAAGCACATTATTATGTAAAATATAACTGTAAGCTGTTGCATTAAATGGACATGGAGGCACTGGAGACAGCAATACAGACAGACAGAAGAAGCCACATCCAGTCAGGATGGCTGAGTCATACTGGCTCCACAGGCTCCATCTCAACTGGTATTGATTATTCATTTCTCATTGACTGCACTCATTTGGGAGAAGAGAGCTAGAAAGCCAAGCCATTATCTGCTGTGTCAGATAACATCTGCACTGTGGTCATGGCACCAGTCAATGAGCAGAGCACAGCACAGATTAAACAAAAGTGTGTTTGAATACATCCGTTTCTATTATTTGAAGTCTGCAGGTAGTGCATGCAGTTTACCAAGCTAAACTTACTTGGTCATCCCAGCCTAATCACCAAATCAACCAGCTGTTAGCTTTGATAGCTAAGTCAGTAGCCTGCTTGTTGAAAAGAATATGTAACCAATATCACTGATGAGTTGAAGGAGGTGTCCTATTCTGATTCTGATTATTTGATCGATATAAATAAGTTGGTGCAGGGTGTTTGTTGCTCTCAGCCCATCTATCATAGGCAGGGGCTCAGACATGAATATATATGAGATAGTACCACCAGATAGCGCCAAAGCAGTAGCTGACCTTGTGGTCTTGAACTAGGCCTCAATGGTCAGATGGATGACCCCGCCGGCCTCCACACACACACGCGCGAACGCAGGCACTATGATTGTAAAAAAAAAAAAAAAAAAAATCGATACTCGGATAGTAATCGATACTAAAAATTAGTGTCGGATTAGATACTCATTAACGTGAGCCGTTTAACTATTAGCAATTAGCCGATAGCCACATTAGCCGTCTGTTAAATTATCATTAAGCTAGCGGCTATGGCTAATAATAAAACGACCAACGTTAATGTGGGAGCTAGGCAGCAAACGTTGTCCTGCCCGTCTGTAACGTTAGTAGACAGCGGCACACACACCTTACAGTAAGTCTTTTTTTTAGTATTTTTGTTTGGGGTGTTTTGCGCTACCTCAGACAACCTAAAAATAATGTTGTCATTGATGTTATTGTTTGTATTGTTGTAGTCTTTATTTAAAAAAGGGTTAGGTTCATTTTTTTCTCCCCGTGGAATCGAAAACGGTAAAAATCAAAGTAATAGGCAAACTACATCATTAATTCCACGTGAAAATATGTCCATTACAAAATTACCTAACAACACTTCACTCATATGTTCAAACCACAACAAGCTGTAACTACGCAAACTTTGTCGCACAAAGACAAGGCGATGTATCTCATAGCAGCAAACTCCAGCATTCCTAACAATCTTAAAATTAACCTTATAGATAATTAATTAGCAAGACTCACCAGTCGATGGATCACCTTTTGCAGTCTGCTCTCTTCCTTCAGCTGAAGCAAACCATTCAGAGTCGTCAACCGCACTGGTGAGATGGTGCAAGTAAAAACAGCAGCATGGGTCACTTGTATCAACGCAGGTTAGCATCATGTTCTGTCAACAAGGAAAAGTAGCTCCAATCTCCACCAGTGTCGTCGTTGTCTCCTCTAAAAGGCAACAGCACACAGTCGATGTGAAGCTTCAATAATCAAATTCTTCCGCATCTCACGATTGTCTCTCTCCTCCTGTCCACTCGTTTCCCCAAAAGTCTTAAATTTAACCACAGTCATGGACCATTATTTGTGTTGAAGAGCAAGCATAGCCAGGAAAATCCTTTATTTTATTCGGCACTTGCCGTTAGTTAGCATTAGCGTCAAAGTTAGCTTCGGTAAACTGTCTCCAGAAGGCCTTGCTTGCCTGTGTGAGCCCTTCGAGTAGGTATTGGTGTCTCCCTTTCAGATTTCTATTTTTTCTATCTTCAAGCAAATCAGCCACGATAACAACTTCGTCATTAGCCGCCATTTTTCTTGGTTACCAACAGTCGTAAGCTAGCTAGCTAGACTTACTCTAATTGGTTGATAGTGACGACGTCACCCTGGGGTTGTCTAAAATCACCACAAATCAAATTTTGATTGGTTCATTTTGTTGACACTATATTTATACCAAGTACACTTTCTATGAACGGACCAACTAAGGACACAACAGGCTGTTCGTGCAAAGTTACTACTGTATGGAGAAGCATGGGCAGAGGTAAGTATATCCATTTCCAGCTCCAAATAGTGGTTTTATGGTCACGATAGTAACTGAAATCGAACCAAATTGATGAAAAAGAAATAAAAAGTTTGTTGGATTATAAATTATTTTAACAATAGATTTATAATTAGATTTTACTAATTTGTAATATTTTATTAAATCAAAAAAAAAAAAATGGTAGGGCCTTGCAGAGAACGCCCTGACAGTCTGCACCAAAGTCAGAAAGTTTCAAAATCAAACTTTTATTTGATTTTGTTGAGGGTTCTCTTACTGTCAAAAAGATGTCAAGAGTCCACAGCCATGGTAACGACTCTGCGAGGCTATGCTAATACGCTCCTAAAGACAACACTTACATGCTGATGTAGCTGATGAAATGTTTAATATGCTCACCATCTTAATCTAATTTGATAGCATGATAACATTTTCTAATTTGCACCTAACACACAAGTACAGCAGAGGCTGATGGGAATGTTATTAGTTTTGAAGGTTTTTGGTCAGAAACCAAAGTAATGGACAAATCCAAATGTGGACCTGATGATGGTGCTAAATATGAGGTAAACGCATCGCCAAATCTCATCTTGAGGGGGACATGAATAGCAATCCATCCAAAAGTTGTTGAGATATTACACTCAAAAACACAAATTTCAAACTTATGGTGGTGCCAAAGGAGAAGCGATGGGATCACCAAAGACAGCTGGATTCATATCTGTCCCAAATGTCAAGAAAAAGTTGTTGAGATATTTCAGTCTCGACAAAAGTGGTGGACCGATCCACTGCCATTGCTGTCCTTAAGTCATGCCACTAACACGGCTAAAAACTGAGTTGTACCATTTGCCCCAAATCCAGTGACAAAAAGCCTCTCTTTGTGTTTTCTGTGAGTGCTGAAGGAGCTCAGTGTCCTCAGGTTTGAGCAAGAGAATCACCGATGTAAAGTTTAATGAAGATAATTTCACTCTGTGGCTCAGGGAAGAGAGATTGAGACAAAAACACTTCAGTGAGTTAGAGACAGTGTGTATTGTTTGCCTTAGAGGGCGAAGTGGAAATGACTTTGTCTTTGACAGCAAAGTACTGTTGAAGTGCCTGAGGCATCTTCTCTTTCCGGCCTATCTCTCTACTCTTCCACTCCCTCTGCCCTTCATTCTTCTTCTGTGTCAGTTAAGTGATATTAAACTGGCAGAGCAATAAACAGAAAGGGATAAAGAAAGGGGTGTAATAAAAAATAAACAAAAACCCTAACGGTAGGGAAAATACTTCACACCACAAGCATCTTTTAATAATTAGAGATCTTTATTTATTCTAATTTGGGCAGTTTAAGACAAATGGTCTGTACTGGACATCTCCCAGTTTGAAAAAAATGTACCTTAAATCGAGAATAAAAACACCAAAAAAAGTTATGTAGATTATTATATTTGAGTGTGAGATCATTCCTAACTTCATGTGGCAGGTTTAAATGCTGTTAACTGTTAACTTTCTAGGAGTGCAATATTAGAACACTGTAGTGGCCCTATAATGATTTATGTTGATGTGTGAGGGCTCCAGTTTGCTGCTGTAATGTTAATTCCTAAAACTCTTTGAAGGAACGTATTAAATCCCTGCCCATTCTGAGCAAAGAAAATACAATATTTCATCAGGTGATACCAAAACATTGCATTTGCAACAAACTTGGTGCCAATCCTGTGATGCAATTCAGTACTCTCTTCTGAATAACCTCTTCTGCACCTGTTTACAAGGTGTGCAATGGACAACACTCAATTCAACCTCCTAAATCTGAAGAGCTGTGGGTGGGTCCAGGGGCCAGGTATTGTTCAAACATGACACAACTTAAATTACTATGTCAAGGTCCCAAAAGAAAGCCTGCAATAAGTTGGATTTTAGGGAATTTTTTACGAAATGATGTTCACACCATCTACAATATTTCCATAAGACATGTTGTTGTAGCAATAAAAGTATCCTCCTGTCTTGAGTTTGCACAGTTATGTCAATATTTGAGTCATTTAGGACTAAAGATTGGGACAAGAGGAGGAAGAGGATATTGTTAGAGTGAACATTTTTTTCTAAATTGAACATTTAATGGAACAAGATTAAGTTTACGAGGTTAATGATGTTTTAGAAAGTTTCAAGAATGTTCAACAGAGTGTGGGAACCTTTTGAAGAACTTGCTACGACACGTTTTTCAAATGAGAGTTACCGTTTACCCACTGGGAACGTTCACAGAGCTGGGTCTCTTCTTCTCTGCGTCTTCACACCCCAAACTCTCTCACTAATTACTACAACCTGTCAGCCTCTCTCAGTTGCTGTGGCGACCAGCCGTCGTCATGGCAACCCCAGTGGTCTGTCTTGCTCAGTGAGGGAGGGGGTGGGAGCGTTATCATGCAGGAAGGTGAGATAAGAGAGTTCATTTCTTATTGAGTAGATAAAAGGGGAGCTGGCCTCCGTCAGTGAAACATTTAAATCACAGGGAAACAGTGGGGAAGCTGAAAGGGCCAAAACTTATTCTGACTGAAAAATAAACCAACCCTCCACTGTGTTTTGTAATTTTTATTAATATCATACTTGTTTTTTTTTTTGTTGTTTTTTTTAAATCTCTCAAAACTTCCCTGAGAACAAACTCATAAATCTTACGTTACTTACTTTAAAAACCACTGACGACAAAGACCTGACATTATACACTGAAAACATAATCCAACAAACGTGACAGGAAGAATCTGACTCCTAAAGTTGGATGGAAAAGCTAAAAAAGAACTAAAGCCAATCATAAATGTCAAATTCATCGACACCCACACTCGTCCACCACCATGTCCTGGTAATGTCGCAGCACCACGTTGTCGTTGTTGTCGTAGTAGAGCATAGAGATCGGGGACAGGCGGATGGGGACACAGCAGGGTTGAGGCGTGCCATGCGGGTCCAGGGAGTGAACCAGGGTCTGCAGGATGGCGTGGTTGGTGCCGTTCAGGCTCTCACTGAGCGGGAACGGGCACTCACCGTGGCAGTAGTTGGCCATGTAGCCCTGCGGAGCGATGATCCAGTCCTGCCAGCCCACGTCTTTGAAGTCAATGTAGAGACGTCGGGCCTTGCAGACGTTGCTGGGCGTCACAGGGAGGTGGACGGCACTTCTCCTCTTTCTGGAGCGACACTGGTGGGGGTTGAGGGACACGGCCACCAGTGAGGCCTGGATCAGCGGCAGGGTGAAAGCTGGTTCCAATGGGAGGGAGTTTCCGGGGTGAAAGGGAAGAAGTTCCTCTGGATCGGTGCTGAGAGGAAGCAGCTCTATAACCAAACCGTAGTTGCGTCCCGGTTTGCGCCAATTCTCTGCCAGCGAGGTGAGGTCCATGGTGAGGGAGGTGGGTTCAGGCTGCAGCTGGATTGACTGGGACAGTAGGAGTCTGCGGTTGGCCTGGGGATTGGCTCCCCTCAGCGTGGCTCGGATCACTTTATACAGAGACACGCTAAGGGCCCGGGGCCCCTGCAGGAGCTCTGCAGATCTGAAGGGTTTCCAGTGGAACTTGACTTCCAGCTGAGCCAGAGACAGCAGCTCCACAGGCTGCAGGACGGACATGTTGAAGAAAAGCTGCTTCTCCAGACAGACCTGACAGCTGCTGCTCCACCCAGACACCAGCCTGCCTGCGAAACGTCAGCAGGGAGATCAGATGGTTAACAAAGACATTACAGTGTTTCAGGAGTGTATTTAGGTTTTTTAAACAAGTGGAAACTGAGCGCATGACAACCTAAATCATGCAGAAGAATGATTTGTCATGACCAATTAGGAGTCTCTCAAATAAACACTGTGGTTGAACTCACTGTGTTTTCATCAGCACAAGAGTTTAACGGACTTATTATTATTCTCTACTGAATTTGCAGTATGACTAGTGGAAACATCTTATGTTAACAGGACTTTTACTGTTGTCATAAGCTTTTGTTATCTGCTTTAAAAAACATTTCCCTGTTCCTGAATAATAGTGGATATTCTCTCTCTCATACCCGTGTACAGATCAGAGGTGCTGAGACCCAGAGGCCTTGCAGTGTGTCATTATGTCACTTTTTTTTTTGGCTAAACCTGCTTTTTGATGTGCTGAGCTTTGCAGACATGTAGCCTATAGTACAGAACCACAACACACGTGTAATATGTGTCATTTTGGCCAGTTACGCTACACAGTTTAAATGTTTATAACTGATAAAACTAAACTGAGAAAAATGTGCCATTTGTGCCTAAAACCCTTGCATGCTATTGGCCCAATGGAGAGGTGCAGTGCAACAATCTGAGAATTAGGAAGTCTATTAGAAACATAATTTATTACTTTCTTTAAGTGTGTCTGTCTACTTTACTTCAAAAGTGTATCCTGCAGTAAATGCAAGTTAGTTTATGACAGTTATTAATCTTAAGTCTTCTTCAGTGGTTGTTCAGGTCCACCCAGTTACTGCAGTTATTATTGGCTGAGAAAAACTTTGCATTTGTGGTTTGGAGATCCTCATCCACAACTTTTCAAAATAAAACGATATTTTACCACAAACTCAGCTTCACATAAGAACCTGTCTAACTGCGGAGCTTATGAGAATATTGGGCCTTTAAATCAATTACCATCACACACTGACTCTGGTACCTTGGTCTTGCACGTATCGGATGATGTTGCCGCGGACTCCGTACTCTGACACCATGCAGGGGTCGCTTTCCTGGGTCCGGATGTTCTCCGACCTCCGGAACATCCTCCAGAGCGCGGAGGGGACTTGGCGTCGGGGCTGGTGGCTCCCTGCGGGCCGGGGCCGCCCGGAGAGGCCGAGTGAGCCGAGGAAGAGCCGCTCCTGGGTCTTCATCTCCTCCACGTGTGTGAGATCACACACACCCAGAAAACACACCGCGAGCAGCACCAGAGGAGTCATGCTCGGCCTCATGTTTGACTTCACCCGGCTCTGCTGGTTCCTCACCTGTGCTGTGGCTCCCAGGAGACCGACGCTGTTTGTTTTAACCCGGGAAACCTCCCGGTGTGCAGCTGCATAATTATGTTAATGCGAAGCGGGCAGACAGGCCGGAGATAAGGTGAGGGGGGCGGGAACACGTGGAGACAGATCTCAGGTCAGGTCCTCAGGAATAACAGAGAGGTTCCTGAACCAAAACTACAAAAAAAAAACAGCTGCAAAACGTCAGATGAAGTTTCCCCGTTGTAACAATGCTGAATAATGTTTTTAGAGTTATTCTGATGTATCCGGATCCCTCTCTTCCTTTCATTTATAATATAGTCCCAAATTTACCACTTCAAGGCACAATCTGTGTTTTTTCACCACATCCATCATCTGAGGTTTGTTCACTAAACCCAAGATTGTGAGTTATAGATGAAAAATTTGACATAGAATAAAACATTTTCTGATGCAAAGTTAGGTTCACTTAAATAATAGTAAATGAATTAATTAATTATGTAAAAACCAGCACTTAATGTTTTGCACTGAAGGTTCATTTTCATTTTTGGTCCTCAAAACAGCAAATATTTCATTTGAAGTTGTGTGAAGCAGCATCTGCCCCAGAAACATGGCTGCGATTACTCCATAGACCTCAGTGTGGGGGTCGACTGTCAGACGGAGCAACAGCACCAGTGAAAACACTGTTGACATCAGGATGGGAACACAGTCGGTGGCATTAACATGAAAAGCCGGGAGATACCAGTATCATTAGGATTCATCCTCATGTGCACCACAAACGTCTGCCCCAGTTTTTGTGGCATTTTCAGCCACACATGCAAACTGAACTGCAGAAACCTGAAATATTCAGGAATATTTCAGCTGAAGCTGTTTAGTTTGCAGTGTGATGGAAACATGGGTCAACACCGAGGAGGTCCAGAGGTCTTTATGTGCTCCTGCAGTCAGTTTGTTGCACCATCTAGTGTCCATTGGAGGTACTTCCTGTTTTAGTCCTTCAAACTTGCAGCACTCAAGAGACTACTGTGTTTTACATGAATGTTATTACTTGTCATGTCATTTAAATAAAGCAGTGGTCCTCAACATCTTGAGCTTGTGACCCCCTAAAACAAATGAATGTTTGTGATTCCCTATCACAGTTTATGGGCTTAGAGAGGTTATGAGTTCTTATAGGAACAGCTCAAACAAGGAGAGACTTTTCCTTCCTAGACTGTTTCAATGTGAACAATTATTGGCCTGAAGTGGCAACAAGTAAAAAAAAAAAAAAAACATTACAAAAAGACATATCATTTATCATTTTAAACATCTTGTGACCTTTCAGACTTATCTTGGGAGTGGGACCCTCCTGGGGGGTGGTAAACTGTAGATTGTGACTCAGACCAGTCAGTAGAGCTCAGTGTGATGATTGTTTCTGTCCGTTTACTAATCATGATAAACACCGACACACAACTAGACATTGCACCAGAACTTCCCAAGTTTTAAGTTTTTCTGAACACTTTTATGTTTATTTTAACTGATCTTTCCACTTCACTTCCTGAGACATTTGGCTCTGGTTCTGCTCAGTCTACAGACATCATACTTCATTTTCTGTGTCGTATATTAGGGCTGAACAATTAATCGAAATATTATCATAATTGCAATATCCAAATTGCAGGAGCTGAAATATGTTTGATAAAATACCATACCAACATACTGTAAGTGAAGCATTGTGCTAGAGATGCCTGAGCCTACAAACCAATGCTCTAGACATAAAAGGAACATCCTTGTTTTGTACAAGTTGCAGCAAAAATCACATCATCATTTTTATATTTTTTTTCATGGAAATCAAACGCAAAAATGACCATTCCAGCTGAAATCCTGACTCGTATGGAAATTGAAATATCAGCCAAAATAATCCCAATTTGATTTTCTTTGCATATCGTTCAGCCCTATTGTATATAAACAAAAACTTATCTATCTTACCTTTCCTGTTTTATCATGACAATCCAGTGTAGCGTGGAGGAACCTAGTCCAACACCTTTGGGATGAACTGGAACACAGACTGTGAGCCAGGCCTCGTCATCCAGCATCTGCTGGACCACACTGATGCTCTACTGGAGTGAGATGTTTAACACTTGTTATAGCTAACGTGACTGACGTTACAGTAACATGCTGTTATAAACACCATTCATCGAGTCAGTCCCAATGATTTTTTTTAATATAGTTGGCAATCAAAGATGATTTTGATTTGAATCATTATTTACAGATCAGTATGTACAGTGGTCAAACAAGAGCAGGAGGCTGTAGTTACACTGTGTGTGTGCGCCGAGGGGGAGGGGGAGGAGGGGGAGGAGGGGAGGGCAGAAGTAGCTGACATTCATCCTTTCAAATAAACGAACGAATAAATCCAATAACGACTTATTTCACTCATCTATTCAACACCTAACGGTGTGTGTGCATAGCTCAGACACAGATTTGGCGACCGACACACACACCCCACACACACACACAGAATAAATACACGCACACTGTATATGAACAATCCACTGCTAGGTAAGACAATAGATAGACAATAATGTGCACTGGCTGATCCTTATTTAAAAGTCTCACCTGATCACACACACTCGCACAGACACGTTCACATGGACCCTCACACATACACAGAACTACAGCTGAACAGATACACACGACACACCGCTAGATTCAGCCTGAGCCTCTCCTGTCATCACTGCTTTCACATTTGAGAGTTCTGTGCTGATGTTTGCATTTGACTCGGAAAACAAGTTGCTGCTTTTATTAAAGATAAATAGAAATAAAGTTATTAAATAAATCTCACTGTGTTCTTGGAAGATATATCCATAATCAAAGATTCTTCAGTCCTGCCAGAAAAGAAAAAAAAAAAGATTCTCTTTGCTGTAAACCGGCAATTAAACTGCTATTTAGAATACAGTGTACGATATAATCTTGCACATTTTTATGAAGTTATCTCAAATTAATTTTTACGTAAACTCTATTTCGGAGTTGGAGCATAATTTTTAGATGTTTCAATCCTTTATCAAAACAAAACTTCCCAACAGGAAGCAGTTTGTGAATGTCTTTTTTTTTCCAGAATTTATCTTAAAACAAATGATTTTATTTCAGTCCTTTTGTCAAGAAAAAAAAAATTCTAAAATGCCTTTATCATTGACTGAGGCTCTATTCATCCACGAGCAAGATAAGTCAACTTTGGATCTAGTATTTGATTTATCGGCTAACAAGCACCAAAGTCTGTTAAAACAGACGTATTAGTTTAAAATATAGCAGAACTTCCATTTGTAACTGCTTTGAAATTGTGGTTAAGAAAGTACAACTTCACAAACAGTCTAAATGCTGGACTTGTGATCATTTCGGGACCAAAAAATGCAAAACATTACCCTCGACTGTCACTAGTGACAGTCTGCCTTTCTCTTCTATCTTGCTCATTGCGAAAATTTCACCCCTAGTGTAAAGAAAAGTCTAATTTTATATTTCGTTGTGCGTTTCTGTTTATGTGACCCAAACAAAGATGGCAACCAGAAATGATAGCTGCTTACTTGTCTGGAGAAAGAGGACACAGTCTACTGGGATCTGATTGCACAATATTTTTCCTCCCACTGTGTCAGATTAGGAGATTACAGTCTCATAAATTCATGCTATTACTTGGCACAGACACACTGGATTTATACAACTTGAGTGACGTACAGTTGATCAGTGAGTCGCCAACTTCACTGTTCCACCTCCTCTTTTACTTCAACATGTTTTCATCATGTGTGGAGAAGAGCGCTCTGGGCTCCTGTGGGTCAATGTCAAGCAACACAGGCTGATATTATGTAGTCTGACCCCAGAATGAATATTGTACCTCATTTTACAGCAGTGCGAATGTTTTCTGTATCGGCTGTGAGCACTATGGATATGTCTCCAAAGACGCGTCCATGATCTGTGACCCTGCCTGGTTTCTATCATATTCTCGATGAGAACAGCAGCTTATTTAAAGCAACTTGAAAAGAAAGTCTCAAATATAAAAGTGATGACTGCTCGAGAGGCCCAGGAACAGCACTTACAGCTGGGAACACTCAGTCAAAGTTACAGTACTTGAGTAGCTGATCGAGGCGTACACACATCTAGGGCTTTGGTGCATCATGGGACAATCAGGAGTGTTATTCTTCAGTTCAAAGGAGCACAACAGGCGCCGATCTGATTGATCAGTCCATATATATATTTATATATTTATAACTATAAATCCATCCAATGAGCTATGTACAAAGTATGGCAAAGAATTTATTATTTCAATTTATCAGCAGATGTCATTGGCTCTTCACTGTGTGTAGTCCATAATGTCTCCAGTGATGTGAACGTTTCATGCTTGGGGGGGTTAGGGGGGGGAGTCCATACCGGCAACCTGCGGCGGTCTTCGACATGGACTCATGGACCCAATCTGCCCCAGAGCAAAAGCTCAGCGGAGTCCATCCAGGGCCTGGGTTCAGTCCAATAAGAAGAGGACAGGAGGTCTCGCCACCAGGGTCATGTAGCGTTCACCTCCATGATGTGGTCGTCAGTGGCGGGCAGCACCAGGACCTGCCGTGCGAGGCTGTGGTTGAACACCTGTCCCGGGCTGAAGGGTTCCAGACGAGGCATAGCCACGCCCTTCTGTTGCTGGTCGCCACTGCCCACGGAGTGGATGCTGCCCCGGCTGCGGATGCTCGCCGTGTCGGCCTGGTCGTCCAGCGTCTTGTCCAGCAGGGACAGACTGTCGTTCTCCACGCAGCTGTCTGAGGATGGCAACAAACAAACAAACAAATTACTCTCTGAAAATCCTGGTGGTTTTTTATTGTTGTTGTTTTTACATTTCAGGTCATTCCTTTCTGGAATAATTAAATTTTGGCGAAGCAGTAATGAACAGGTCAAAGAAAACAAGCGGTCAGACAGCTTGTAAACAGACTAATCCAACCAGATCTACTTGAAAGAGGAAACTAAAAATTTTAATT